AGAGTGTGTGTGTGTGTGTGTGTGTGTGTGTGTATGTGTGTGTGTGTGTGTGTGTGTGTGTGTGTGTGTGTGTGTGTGTGTGTGTGTGTGTGTGTGTGTGTGTGTGTGTGTGTGTGTGTGTGTGTGTGTTGAGAGAGAGAGAGAGTGTGTGTATGTGTGTGTGTGTGTGTGTGTGTGTGTGTGTGTGTGTGTGTGTGTGTGTGTGTGTGTGCACATGCTTGTTATGAGTGAGAAAGGTGTACCCTGTGGGCATTGTAAGAAGTAAGGCGGGTGTTTGGGGGGTGGGGGGGTGGAAAAAGGTGTTTGTCTTAAGAAACTACGCGTGTGAGTTCAGGAGGAACTCAGCGATCATGGCTCCGTCCGCCGAGGCTTCATCAGTACTGAGCGCCCCAGGCCGGGGCACCAAGGGGGGGGCAGCTGGGAGGGTGGCAGCTGCCCAGGTGGGGGGGTGGGGGCACCACGCAGCAGTAACCCCCCTCCCTGGCAACTTTACTTTGGGGATAGGACACTGAAACGCCTCCCTGCAGAGAAAGAGAAAGTAAAGTAGGAGTGAAGAACTTGCAAACAGCAGCACTTTTTGAAGTGTTCTTCTGGGGGCCGTTTGGGGCCGAACGAGACCTTCGGGGGGCTCGGTGTTTACCTGAGCTATGCTACGCTGATGAGGGGCCATTGCTGTGTAGGACCCCAGCACAGCCTGGGGCGGGGGGTGTGAGGGATGCTGCACCCCCACAGCAGGGCCGTAAGCGGCTGCAAACACAGTTATGTAAAAGATTATTAACAACATATTTCATCTCTTCAGTTTGTTCCAGAAAAGGGTTAATGCCCAGGAGAGCTCTCCAGTTGTTTGGGGACAATAGAAAGATTCAATACAGCATTCAAATAAAGAAAAGGGGAGAAAATAAATAAAACTGTACGCCAAAATGATTCATTATTCTCTCGATGTGTAAGAACTCTCTGTTTCCAGGTTCTGTAAATAAATAACATGAGATTCGACAGACAGGAAACTTCTTTTGGCCGTTTATTTTCAAAATAACTTTAACGATTAATCGATATTGAAAATATTTGGCAATTACTTTTCTGACGATGCGATTAATCGCTGCAGCTGTAGTTGGAAACATTTATATTCATCAATTCAGTCTGAACAATGTAATCTTCACTGGCAATATGGAATAATAACAGCAACAAAAACACTGCTTGGGAGACACATTTACATTTGTCCATCATTAGTGCAGTCCTGCTGATTCATTTGCATTTCTGTGTTGGGGCGCTGAGTCTTTATTATAAACATACATTTTTGTTTTTTTAACAGCCGCTGATGCCTAGAAGGTGTTGACGGACACTTTGCAGCTGTTTCAGGTACAGTCGCTCATTAAGACGCTCCATATTCTAATAAAGAGCCGGGTTTAAACGTGTCTCCTCGCTCTCTTTCGATGCGTTGAATAGAAGCAGCAGGAAAAGAGACCGGTTCACTGTGAGACCCTCAGACTACATCTCTGACAGTGTAACGGCCCCCTCCTCTACTGCCACGGGCTGCGTCTGTCTCACACACACACACACACACACACACACACACACACACACACACACACACACACACACACACACACACACACACACACACACACACACACACACACACACACAGTTGGGCAGTACCTGTCGGTGGGGCTGCTTGGCTGAGGATGTGCTGGCTCGGGGAGATGGGCCTGCACTGGTGCTGAGCTGAGGTAGGGTACTGGCCGTAGTAATACACAGGTAACTATGGGAAATAAAAAGGAAAAATATTAGTATTCGTACTATTATTAACCATACATGTATCCTTTACATTTAACTGAATGACTGTATAAGCAACATTTTAGTTTATTAATCCAGAATGCATACATGTTGTTTTCCTAAAACAACAATATTTAATAGTAGTTTACGTTAGTATACTAAGTATAAGAATACATGATAATCTTACATACATTGACCGTTTTATGTACATAATCAAAAACATACGAAAAAGGGTATTAGGGCCAGTCATGAGACTTATTATCAGAATTTTTATTTAGCATTTTGAGAATAAAACAAACCACTAGCAAAATAGAGTGGAAGTCTGCCCTATTCTTAACATTTAAACCTCTTGGAGTGGAAATAAAAACAACTCTTTACCCTCTCAGTAAGTTCCCAATATGCGTAGTTGCTTCAATGAAAAAGGACATAAAGAATAAAAAGTGCAGGCGCTTCGTACCGGAGGTGAGGGCTGGCAGTAGCTGGGTGGGTTTGGAGGGGGGGGAGGCGCTGCATATAAGTAACCCTGGGTGGGAGGGTAGAGGGGCGGGGCTTCACCCGTCGACTGACAGCTCACATGAGCAAACTGCGAGGAGAGGTCTTCAATCTGTCGGTCAAGAGAAAGACGGTCAAAAACACGCACAAAGACGCCCGTAAACACACATGCATACTGAAAACGTGTGTGTGTGTGTGAGTGTGTGTGTGTGTGTGTGTGTGTGTGTGTGTGTGTGTGTGTGTGTGTGTGTGTGTGTGTGTGTGTTATGTACCAGTATGTGGGTTCACAAGTATGCTTCCCGGCGGGATCCCGTTCTCTATGATGTAGGCAGAGGTAGGAGCCGGCTCGTCTATGATGGGGGGGGTGGAGGGGTGAGGGTGAGTGGATGGCAGTCTGAAAAGAGAGATGGAGCCTGAGAGAGAGGAAGAGCTTTATTATCAAAGTCCCAGTTCAACATCTTAAAGCAGCAATACTCTCCACTGGAGGCCGGCAGCAAAGAGCTAATGGCTGTCTGAGCGAGACGTAACCTAAAGCTACTCGCCTCAATGACCAGCAGGGCAGGAAAAGTAGAGAAGCATCAAAGCTGCCATTGAACAAGCCTCTCGAGCCCAACTGCTTCCCTGAGTGAACCCCCCGCTGAATAAGGGTATTAGGGTAAGAAATACAATTAAAAAATGAATTGGTCTAAAAGGTGCCGGATGACGTCATATGCTCATTTGCATATGTTCTGCAACAACTCCAAACATCACTGATGATTAACTACATTTGTTTATAAAACGGACAAGTCAAATCAAGCAATCTGATTGGTTCTTAGCCGTGATATAATGAGCGTATATCACGGGTAGAATTGTAGTTACTTTTCACAAGTCAGTATCCCTCCACGTCTGAGAAAAAGCTACAACCGTTACAGCTGTTCCATTACGTCCGTTACATTACGTCCGTTACGAAACTAACTAACTAACAAAGCTTAAGATGGAAACATTTAAGATTAACCTCGACCTCCGGATGGCCTTACTATGGAGGAGTGGATTGAGCAGTGCCTATCTCCAGAAAGAAAAGCACCTAAACTACGACATGCAGAGCTACGTGAAGAGCAGGTAGACCAACTGGAAAAGTAGCACCATTCAAAAGCTTTCTGATGCGGCCCATGCGGGTCTTGAAACAAAGCAGAGAAATTAGGACCGTTAGTGGCCACAGGTGCGAAAGCTCTCTCCAGAGCTACTGGAAGCCCAATCTCTGGGACCGGAGAAAGTGGAGCAATATTCTCGCCACGCCAAGCAACAGCTTCGAACAACCTCAACCTATACAAGTAACCACGTAAGCCATTATACTAAAACTACAAGACCTGGTTGACTATAAAACTATTCAAATTATGTTCAAAGCCGCAAATCAACAATTACCTCATAATATCCAGGGACTTTTCACACGGAGAGAAAAAACATACACACGTTGAGAGGAAACTGCATTTTCAAAAAAAACACCCGTACGAACAAATGCCAAACTACATTGCATCACATCAAAAGGTGTTAGTCTGTGGAACAACTGTAATGATGCACTGAAATATTGTGCAAGTCTATCTAAACTGAAAGTATTATTTAGGAGCCAAATCATGAATGGTTATGAACAGGACCTGTAAAATCACATTTGTTATTTATTGTTATTGAAAAAGTAATTTCTTTCTGATTGTTTTGCAAAAAACAAATTAACAAGACAAACATGTCGCTGATGACGATGACCTAATATTTTATTTATAAGGAAAATGTATGCTAGAGGGGGTAGGACCAGAAACGGTTTTTTAAGCTTCTTCTTGCCCCTGTTGACAGAGACTATTTGAGAATTAATTTCTTTATTATTTTTTTGTACTTTGTTATAATTATTATTATGAGTGAAAAAAAAAGAAAAAAAAAGAACATATATATATGTATATATATATAATGAGCATACACCACGGCCTGTCGTGAGCTATTGCTTAAATATATGACATTTATAATTATTGCTTTTTATCATGATGGTTTGAGTAAGCCACTACACGTGTGGCTAGTAGAGTCTATGAACAATTTGGAAAGTGATCTGGTTGTCTTTTGCCACACGTTAAATATAATACCACTTGAAAATGACTTGGGGGGGGGGGAAGTTGTTTCGTGCCACTTGAATCTGATCACTTAAAACGTCCCCTCTGCCTGTGCTAAAAACATACTGTGTGCAGCGTCTTAGCAAATGACGTGCTTTTCTTGAATATGTGAAAAAGGCAGGAGGTGTTGTGTGAAAACGTACAGCTATGGTGTGAAGGTTCATGGATTGAGTTACATTTTCACACCAGAAGAACCTCCACAGATTTGGTGTTAATTAGCTGCTGTTGAATCAAGATCAGACATCATTTATAAACAGTGATATTCCCCGAGTGTGGTGAGGTGATGAAATCTGCTGAAAAGTTTGCTTGCACATAGGTACGAGAGGAGAGAAGTTTCTCACCCCCGTGTGGCAGTCAAGTGTTACCAAAGGTTATTCTGACACAAGGTGAGAGGAGACGCACCTGAGGCACGTGCGTCCCAGCTGTGGTTCGCAGCTTGGCGAGGTATCATGGCGGGACTCGTCCATTGGTAGGAAGAATCTGAAGAGTCTGTGCTGCTCCAAGGTCGGAGTTCGTTGCTATAGCGACAGTCAGTCTCAGTGCTACTTTGCCTGCTACTGCCCGTCCAGCTGGAGCCGGAGCTGTCGCGGCTCCCCCTGTGAGGACATGAGCATTATCCTACAGCCTATCACTGCATAACATGCAAAGTGGTACGTGTGTAAATGGTATATCGGTTCAATGCTCTGATATACTCTCTGTTTACCCTGAGATGCACGACCCTACACTCTTCCATAAGTGGGTCAAAAAGGACCCGTATTAGAATAATATGTGTTTTTATGCCATTTTGGTTAAGAAAAATCCCTTGTATAATATTTAGTATTATATTTTGGTCCACACAAGAAATATTTTATATTTAATTTTTCAGTATTTATAATTTTATTAAAAAAAATTACATTTTGAAAAAAATTGATGCAAAGATCTCCGCTATTCTGAGACCCTCACAGTATTCCTGTCCCTTTTCTGCTCATAGCCCACCCCCCATCAATCCATGCCGGTTGATCAAGTTTGATAGTCCTATACCCCCCACCCTATATACCCTCCACCCTAACATTCCCTTATATTGTAAAGCGATTTTGAGTCCTTGAAAAGCCCTATAAAAATATAATGTATTATTATTATGATTATACTGACAGGTATCAGACCTTGCTGTGTAAAATAATCTCCCTGAGAGGTGTCACAGTGAATGTATTCCTGACTGCCACAGGTGAAAATAATCAAAGGTTCCCATAGGATCCATAGAAAATGCATGCGGGTCATTTTTGATCCACTTATCGAAGCTTGGAATACAAAAACCTACAATTTCTTAAAATGTATAAAATGTCAATTTCAAATGTGAATGGCATGATATCCAAAACATGTTTTTTGAGGAATAGCTGGAATATGAAATGATAAAAAAATGTAATTACAAAGATACTCTAAGAAAACCACCTCACCGGGTCAGACCCACTTATGCATCTAAGGGTTAAGTAAAATATGGATACATATCATCATCTCTGCCTTCTTTAAAATTGCTTTCAACTCAAAAGAAAATATTTTTGTCATTGAATTGTGTGGAAGAGCTCAGAAATACACGTGTCAATTCATATTTTACTTGCTTTTCCTGAGTTGATATAAATGTAACTGTTAGATGAGAATATGATTTCATATCGATCGCAGGCTCCTGAATTTACTCTAATCGCATCGTGGCTGGTGAGTTTCTGATATCAGTAAATACCAAAGAGTAGTCCAGGTAATAACTATGATATGGTTTTGTGATGAAAGTTTTGACTTTGAAGAACGGGCCACACGTAATAAATGCCATGATTATATTCACTGACATAAATTGTGTGGTTCAGAATGTGCTGATTTCCAACAATCCTAAACCCTGACACGAAAAAACGAAATCTAGGTCTTCATTTTGTCTCCACTGCAGATTGTGAGCAGCTCTGTTGCTGACCAGATTAAGATGATAAATGACTTAGTGTGTGTGCAGCAGACAGAGCTCTACCTGAAGAGCTGCCTTCTCCTCTGGGTCTCAGCATATGGATTGTACTCCTCCGCAGCAGCCCTGCACACAGCACACACACAGACATATATTAATGTCCTCATCTAAATATAAAAAGCTGAAAAGGCAAATGGAGAGAATGTACTGCGGGCAAGGTTACCTGGTTTCTGCATGAGCGCTCTCCTGGGCGCAGGCCGGCTGCAAAAGCAAGGAGAAATGAGTGAGTCTCCTATATGTCTCCACTGTATGTCATATCAGCCCGTCTACCTGCTCTCCCTCTCCCTGTCTCACCTCTTGGCTGAAGATTCGGTCTCTCGCTCGTTGGTACTCCTCCTCTCTCTCCTCCATCGACTTGCTCTGCTTCTCCCGTAAGGGGTGAAGTCGGTTCTATGGGAAAAGACAAACAAGGACAGGTCAAAACTCTGATAGGATACGATCAATGTCAATTATAGAGGAAGCTCCACAGAGAGAGGCAGCTATAGGGATATGAGCACGGACAGACCTGGTCGTCTGAGCTGTTGTCCCTCTTCAGAATGATTTTCCACCGGTGGATCTCTTCTGTCTTGTCCTTATGCACCTGGTCCAAAAACCTCTGCTCTGGTCTTGAAGACAAACAAGCAACAACCGCTGTTACTTCACAGTTGCCTCTCAACAAAATGAAGTGCAGAGACATTTGTGTGCGTGCTTACATGCGAGTGCTGCTGGTCCTGTTGATGATGACAGATTTGCCCGTCTGGTCTACATTGTGCTCCATGCCAAAGTAGGCCGCCACCCGATGGACCAGCATACGGTGGTAGGACGACATGTGAGGAAACTTCTTAAAGGAACTGAGGCGTAGGAAGACAGAGACAGGTTGAGGAGAAATAAGAGAACGGGGGATAGAAGGAAGGAGGCAGGGGGGTGGCTCAAACACACACACCCTAATGTAACTGGCTCAATATATTGATCAGTACACTAAATAAGCTGTATGGACAAAATTATAATAAATAAGCTGGAATGATATCTTAAAGGGACAGCTCCTTCAGCGTGTTGATAAGGTTTAGGGTGTTTGGTAGAAAGAAAATCGTTCGCACATGAAACTGCTTACAACAAGGTCTGTGGATTTTATAAAGTACCTCAAAGCAAAACAATCTAACTTGACACATAGCATTACAGGTAAGGGAAACAAATATGTACTTTGATTATGAGTTGAACTGTCCTTTTAGATAATTAAAAACCATATTCGGGACAGGAATTAGAATGCATGTTCAATAACACCCCCATGGTTACGTACTTTTATTTGCGCGCACACACACACACACACACACACACACACACACACACACACACACACACACACACACACACACACACACACACACACACACATAAACCCCCTCACAGACAGAAATGTACCACTGTACCAAAGCTTAATAGTATATATCAGAGCTGCTGTATTGAATGCATAATTTATATTCACAAATGGAGTTTTATATTGATATTAAATTATATATTGTGTTCCAAGGAAATGCACTGTGTGAATAGAATAAAGTGCTGTGGCTGGATTGACGATGTCACATTTCTATATCATCCTGACTCCTTGTTTCCTCTCATGTTGGTGAGCAGATGCTAATGCAGGCGTGGCGAGATACATACACCACAGAAGAAAGTACATTTTACGAAGACATGCATGCGGTGCACAATGCATATTCTTTTGCACATAATTACAGACTACATCAAGTCTCTCCTCTAGGGGAATTAACATATTTTTACGTCTACTTCAATTGTCGTGGCCCACTGGCAGATGCAGACATAAAATACAATGCTTACCCATTCCCTGCCAGAAATAAGAACAATTTGTTCTTAGGTGACAAGTTTAATGTTAATTTCTAGCAAAGGCCAAATATTAAAGGTCACCTTTTATGCAAAATCCACTTGTTCATGTCTTTTATACATAAACATGTGTCCCTTCTGTGTAAAGAGATGCTGAAAGGTTCAGGAAAAAAGATTTGCTCACTTTTTGTCCTGATCCATTTATATAAAAAACCTGTCTGAAAATGAGCTGATCAGATTTTGGCCACTTTATGATGTCATAACGTTTTTTTGGCTTGTGTAACCATTAGCCAATCACCACTGGATCTCCTCCTAGAGCACCATTGTGTTCTTTGCAACCAAATATCTCTCAGAGGGGCGTGGGGAGGGGCTCCTTATTTTCATCTAAAGTAACAGACAGAGAATCAGCACTTTTGAAACAGGGCTGAAACAGAGGGGCTTATGGGATGCTACAATGGGTGATCTGTTTAGTATTTCAAGCCAAACACTTCAGAGACATGTTTTGTATTTATCTGAGACCTAAAATATATTGATGAAAAACAGAATAATAGGGGACCTTTCATTTAAAGCCTTTATCTACTGATAGTATCACATGATAATCAAAATGATGTGTGCACTGAGGGAAAGCAGTGATATGCGTTGTTGCTGCTACTGAGTTCATAAATAGGAGATGAAGGTAATTGCCTTATTGTCTGAATAACTAATGAGCAAGAGGAAGATTTACCATTAACATGTTTGAACATTAAGGGCATTTAGTCTTTAGGAATCTTGTTACTAATCACTATAATGCTCACACGATGGGATTCTTCGTACAGTCGAGCAATAATATTGACGTTTTCACTCTAATAAAAACAAATCAATGTGGAAAATTGATGCAAATTACTTAAACAACATTGTCAGTTACCATGTTCATCTGAAGGAGTCTCACTCCGAGGCATGAGCGCCCCCTGCTGCTCAGAGACTCCCAGTGCACTCCTCACGTTACACAACACAAGTCTTTCTAACAGCATATCTAGCAATGATGTATAATATTTCAACATTTAAAACGGAAATTAGTTCAATTCGGCCTAAGCAATTCACTGCTATGCTTGCCAATTAATTACATTTTGACAGACTTATAACTAATTATTTAGATTGTATTTCTACCTATAGGGAAATTAAGTAAGTTATTACTTTGTGACTCGTTAGCAAAGCCCAGGTGTTACTAATCACATCAACGATGGCTCTATTAAAAGTGGAATTCAGCCGTCATTAATTTAATTGCACACACCTGTGATTTTCCTGCTGACAGGTGAAAACTGTTCAAATTTACAGATCAATACCCAACTAAATTACTCTCCACACACATACTGAATAATCACATTATAAAATGCTCTCTGTTTGAACTCTTCCAGCTTCTCCTGCAAAAATTATCCTACAAGCAATAACAGATCAGCCAATGTGTGTTATTGTTCAGATGCTGCTGGGTAATTCATTTTGCTGAGGAAATTATTCATATCCCCCCCCCAACAAATTCAATGAAACATATCCATCATCCGCACACGGCTTTAAAATTAAATTTAGATTTCATTACTGCGGTACTGAATGCAATATTTATACAACGTTTTTCAGAAAGCCAGCTCTATTTCTGTCCTTCCTACATTCAAACACACAAAAAGAAATCAGCCGTGCAGGTTCCATGATCTTTAATAAAAGGCACATGTACAGCCATAGTGAGATGAGTGAGTCCACTGGCATAGAGACGAAGCATTAAAACACAGAAATACAGGAAGTAGAGAGGAGAGAGATCTACCTGCTTTACAGTCTACTTAAGAAACATCTTCTCGTTCTCGTTCAAGTAAGTCTAACACTAATATGTCACTGTGGTAAGGTTAAACCCCCCCGTCGCCCCCGTCCCCCCCCCACACACACACACACGCGCACACACACACACGCACGCATCGTCCATCACCACTCAGTGTCTGATCTTCCAGAGAAATCTCCCCGTGAAGCTCGGAGCAGAGGAAGAAGCTCCCAGTCTGGTTTCTGACTCCTCAGAGTTCATCCGTCACACATCGATGTGTGCACTGCGCACACATCGATCTCAGACTATCGAGGGCATCTTCCTTTTATATTTGCTCAAAGACACTAAAAGTCCAACCGGTCTCATTCTGGAAAACAACCTGTCTCTGGTTCTCTGTGTCTCAGTTACTTTGTAGTATTTTGATGGAGGAAAACTGCTAAAACATGATAATCACACATTTGACTGAAGATGGTGTTGTTTTTCTACTGACACCTTGAAGATGATACACTAAAATAAAATCACTCTTTCTCCGCTACTGACAGGAAATGACAAAGTGATTGGAAAAATTGTTTGAGATTTTACTGATTAGGAAACAGCATTTTTTTCTTGATTAAAAACATAACATAACCATTTAATCTTCTTACGGCCATTTATAAAATAAATACATGTACTTTCTGGTGTTAAAACTATATAGATGATTATTTCTAGATTACCTCAAACTAGCTTTTGAATTTCATTTTTCAAATTGTCCAACATATACGTTAATACCAATATAACTGCAATAAAAATGGCTAATATATCACCCTGGTTGATCTATAAATATATCTCTAACTACCGCCTTTAAATCAAGATCATATTGGAACTAAATAAACTGTTAAATAAAAGTATGATATAAAATAAAATTATAAAGTAGTTACACAGGATCCAAATACATTTGCTGTTAATCATATTACCAAAAAGCAGCTGACACACATCGGACCTGAAGTCTGTTTGTAACTCAGTCCTGTCCTCAGGGATTGATTTCATATCGGGACAATTTCATAAGAACAACAGTTGTGATCTGTTTACGCACACATGCACGCACGCACGCACGCACACACACACACACACAAAGGCAGTCAGTCACACGCTAAAACCCAAAATAAAAAGTTCACAGGTATTTAAATATTTAAGGTTAAGAGAAATAAAAAGGGATATTAGTGTTGGAGGTTATATATATAACCACAGATGGAGAAAGAAGTCGAAAAACTAAAATATGAACGCAGCCGTCTCTCCTGTGTTTGAAGGGGAAAGGGGCTCATCGGGGGGAACGCAGTCTTTCTCCTGTTCTGGCAAAGCTTGCGACGCAAAATGGACACCCTTTTTTCAAAACAGAAAGACATTGTTGAAAAGACTCAGGCATTAAGTGTAGGAGGGAAGGGAAAACACACACTTACACACACACTCTACATTCATTCACATGTCCAAAGAACTGCTCCGTAGAGTCAGCCGCTCTATTTTCACATTATCACGTCTTTGGGACATTTCAACATCAATCAGAGAGTTTGGGGCCACACTCAAAGGTCCGTCACTTTACTCTCTTTCTCCCCTTTCTCTCCCTCACACACACACACTTCCACACACACACACACGCAACAAATACACCACACTTTGTTTGGTGTGTGTGCTACCTTTGGCTGCAGGTGTCAGGGGTGAAAGGTCAAACATCACCTGACCTCAGAGACCCCCACAGGTACACACCAGAGCCGCCCCCATCACCCCCGCCTGGGCCTTTCGTGGGTTTCGCCCCTCCATCCCATAACAATGCCCACCCGTCTCCACAGCAACTCACAGCTGCCCCTCACGCAAGGGGTCTCACTATCTTGTAAAAGGAGGTAAGTGTAATTAGTGGTGTGTGTGTGTGTGTGTGTGTGTGCGTGTGTGTGTGTGTGTGTGTGTGTGTGTGTGTGTGTGTGTGTGTGTGTGTGTGTGTGTTCATACCTATCTGGAGTTGTTTACTGGAGAGCCTCACAGGTGAATGATGAGGTCATATATCCCATGTTCCCACAGGGCAGACAGAAATGCAATTATCCTCTCCGCCGTGCTCGCGCTCTCTACTGTTGCTCTCTCTGCCGGCTCTTTACTGGTCAATGGAAAATAGCCTGAAGATATCGAAAAAACACAGGAGAGAAAACAGTGTTAGCGGTCATTGTACGATAGAAACACCACTACAATGTTTCACACAATCACCCCCCAACACAAACACACACACATTCATATCAAA